AAAAAAAAAAAAAAAAATACAAGGCTTCTTCAACAGTTATGTAATAGGCCACATAATTCTCACACACCGACACAAATTTCCAAAGGGCCTCGGTTTTACTCGAATCAGACTCAAATAATGTGACTTTTACTTCATAGCTGGAATCTGTGGATATGTAAAATGAAGGTATGATTATGAACACTCTCCTTAATATTTAGTTGAATTGCAAAAAGAGGGTGTGTTTGGATACAAATAAACACGATTCATACTCAATTCATATTCAAATTTAACTCAACTTTAACCCAACTACACTATCCTCAATATTAACAATATAATTAAATATAATTAAATAGTATCAATCGATTACATCACATTAAATTTAATTCAATCTTCATTCACTATATAAAAGTTAATTCAATATTCACGCTATCTCTCTCTCATAATTTTACATCATATCAACTTTAATTATTTTATTTTAAACATTATTTTAATATAAACTCAAAATCCCACTAACTACCCATACCACATTTTTGCAAATTAACTCTGGTAAAAAAAAAAAAAAAAAAAAAAAAANAAAAAAACTCGTTTTGAGTGGATATATTTATATACAAGCACGTGACGAGCAATAGGTAATGCAAACACAGTGTTTTCTACATTTGAAACACTATTTAAAGGGAGTATCTAAAACACTTCAAGAGGGCATTTTCTACTTGTGAAAGATAAAATGAAGTGTCTCTGCAATTAGACTAAACACTACGGGAAAATTTTGTAATAATCTAAGCACCACTTCTCAATGCAAATAAAATTTTCAAGAACAACTTACTTGTAATTCTTTTGCGGAAAGATCGAGCTCTCTCCGGACTAGGACTTGACGAATGACGAAGAAGGTCCCAACCCCAAGCAAAGCCAGAAGTAAAAGTAGATACGAAAGCTGAATCCCCAATTCAAACAATTCAGCTACCTCATATATAACGTTCGTTTGTACATCTTCACTTGCCAACGCCACTTGAACAGGTGTCCACCATGAAAGTGAAGAACATAAAACGGTATAATAGACAAAAAGATGAGGTCCTTTGACTTTTCTCAAAACCCCACCGACTGATAACTTCCACAAGGATTCTGAAATAACAGAATTCAAAATAATATAACCATAACTCAAACAGAAGGATTCTACATTTCTGGTTAACCTTAAAATGTCTATGAAAAGGTAAGAGCTTTACATCTTTTTCCAAGAGAAAATTTAAATATAGAGCTTTACATGCACAACCTTGATTACCTTCATCTTTTGTTACGGTCGAGGATGAATAACTCCGGTTATCCTTTTCAAGTACCTATGTTCGACAACAACCGAGATAAGCCATCGTCAAGTAAAAAAAGAATGTATTGACAAGTCATAAAAATTCTTTAGTAAACCCCAATAAAGAATGTTAACATTTGACAATGATAGTGATTATCCTCAAAACTAATCCTGAATGAATTAAGCAATTTTTTTTTTTTTTTCTTTTTAGAATAATCGAATTAAGCAACAATGTTCACTGCAGTAGTAACTATCCTCCAAACTAATCTAACAACAGACTAAGTTCACAATGTATGTTAGAATATCACATTGTAAGAAACTGGGGGAAAAACTGGTGCGGGCATACTATAACATGAAGCGCACCAAAGCGGGAAAAACCCATATGAAGCCCAAGTGGGGTTCCATCCCAAAACCAATTAGTTGAAGGAGGAGTAGCCCATTAGACTTATAAGATGGGTCTATTTTCCATATATGAACGACGTGGGACAACTCACAAGTGATATTCTAACATATATAAGGAACAAAGCTTCAAGAATACCAGAATGGAATATTTGGGGACTCTTAGTTCACTGCAGTAGTAACTATCCTCAAAACTAATCTAAACAACAGACTAAGTTCACAAGCCATACAAAAATCAATGAGAATTTACATAAAGAACGAACAAAGCTTCAAGAATACCTGAATGGAAAATTTGGGGACTCTTAGTTTCCTCTTCGTGGGCTTTTTCGAACTTAGACATTTCAGATTGTTTGTCTGAACAAGCGAAAAAGAACATGAAATGGGGCACTGATTTTTGTTTCTGGGCTTCAAATTTTGGACAAAAATGGCCGAGCTTTCACAGTGCTGCAAAGGAGCGGACAACGTACACTGGATTAGCATCCTTTTTGTCCAAATGGGTTTGTTCGTTGTTAGCTAATCGTGCAAAGATTGAATTTTGATTGCATCAAGAATCAATTTTTTGGGCTATCCCAAGAATCATTATTGGGGGACTTTACTGCTTGCGTTCTTGGCTGAAGATAATAAAGTTCACGGTTTTATCTTCAAAATAATAAATAATTCAACGGAGACCCATCCTGCTGTTCCTTTTGTTTTTTATTTTTTGTTGTGTCATTCGAAACTATTAATAATTTGACCCCGTGCATTTGCACGAAAAACGATTTATAGAAGAGAAAGTAACTAAAAGTATAAAATAAAACAAAAATCACAACTAATAAATGAGAAAAAAATAATTTAAAAAGCGAAACTAAATATTATTAAATACTTCATTATAAACAACACTAGTACAATACCCGTGTATTACACGAGTGTTAAATTTTAAAATTAATGAGAAAATTATATTAAATTTAGTTTTTTTTTTTACAAAAAAATATATTACTATATATTTTAGAATGATATGTGTTACTTATGACTTACATGTGTTATATTATATTAGTTTTTATAATTTATATCATATAACTACTTGAAATATAAATATATTAGTTGATAAATAATTTTATTTTTCTAATTAATATTAAAAATAATTTTATTATTTTTATAAAGATAAATATAAATTATTTTTTTATACATACAATATGGATGTTAAATCGAAACATCAAAAGAAGATTAATTTGATATATTACATATGTAAAACTGATAAAAAATACAAAAGTTATTAACTTTTAAAATATATATACAATTCAATAGTTATAATAAGGAATGATATTAAAATGCAATTAATACATGTAACATGACCATAAATAATCAACATATTTATGGTAATCCGAGCCTAATTATTTTTCGTTTGAAATTAAATTAAAATTTACTCAAGCCTGATAACGAAGCATGTAATTTTGCCACATATGATTTCGAAGCACCAGAAGCAGCCACGTAGGCTCAGCGCGTTTTGGAATAATATATAGGGGGATTCGTGGTTCTTTTATCATCAAATCCTCATCACAACAAATAATTATCGTTAAACATTTTCGACTCGTGGCTCAAGGATTTAATTTTTTTTAAAAAAAATTGATGTATATTTGTAATATTCGAAAATTATTTTTTATTATTTTATGACTGCAATAGAAAATAGAGATATTTGTAGTCATTTTTAATTAGTTGGAAAATATGTATTTATATAATACCAAAATATATATATAGTATCAAAATAAATATAAAAATATTTTGTATTTTAAGACATAAAAAGGCGTTACACAACTGTGCACCATAAAAAATAGGATATGTCAAAATAAATCTTGTAACCGAAAGTTACATATTTGTATTAAATGGTGAACATATTTTTATTAAATGAACAACTATTTTTATTAAATGAACTAGTATTATTATTAAATTCTAGTTGAATAAAATTTATTGAACCTTACCAGCAATTATATATATATTTATAGATTTTTATAATTATAATTGAGTATAAATTTTTTTAATTGTTTTAGCATTTTACTTAAACTATTTTCGCCGGTTACAAACCCGACGAAATAGTTTTCTAACCGGACCGTTCACCGAAAAACATACACACACTGACACTATCACTTACAACTTCTCATCGGCCGTCTTTGACAAAAACCGGTAAAAGGTTGGTGGAAGTCTTTGTTTCCTCCGCCGCCAGTCGATGCACTCGAGAAATCTACTCTCACCACTCGTCTGATAATCACCCATCTCATCAAAATCCTCCCTTTTTTTTTCCATTCCCATTCTAGCTCGCCAACGATGTCGCATTCCAACCTCCTCCACACTCCCTTCGTCCCCGCCGCGCCGCCGTCACTCTGCCGCCGGTGCTCCAGCACCGCCGCCGCCGTCCCACCTCGGCGTTCAGTCCCCGTCATCCAATCCAAGATCCGCGAGATCTTCATGCCGGCTCTCAGCTCCACCATGACGGAGGGCAAGATCGTCAGCTGGGTCAAATCGGAGGGGGAAAAGCTCGCCAAGGGGGAGTCCGTCGTGGTGGTGGAGTCCGACAAGGCGGACATGGACGTGGAGTCCTTCTACGACGGGTATCTCGCCGCCATTATCGTCGACGAGGGTCTCTCCGCCGCCGTCGGATCCACCATTGCCCTGCTAGCAGAGACCGAAGAGGAAATCGAGCTGGCCAAGTCTCAGAAAACGTCGTCGTCTGGTTCA